ACGCGGTCGCTAGAAACAACTCATGGTAGAGGCACGGCACATCGACTTTCACATCGATTCACAACCCTCGGAAAAGTGTGATGTCCTCAACCCTCATTGGGCCAGCGTGACAGGCTATGGCCTAAACCCTTGTCTGAGAAATGATGATTATGAAAACGTATAATCATATAATGGTCAATAGTTTCATGTCATCATAAAAAAGGTGCCACGTAAGCATATACGCGGTTGACATTGTTGTTGTTCACGTCGCTCAGCGTTCGGTGTGTAGAGTTTGTGATCTTGAAATTTAATAACATCGAACTGTGGATAGAGTGGTGTTTAGGGGAACCATAGAACGATTTTTAAAGAATTTTCTATTTTAAAGTAGCAGCACAAGTCTTATATTGCCTTAACTTTTAACTTATGCCATCGAATTCATTCAACGTTTATTGCCTATTCGGTATCTCGATGTTGTAGAACTTCGCGTGTCACTGAAAAGTATCTTTTATAACAATCTTTTAAAGGTTTTACGCTAGGTCCAAATCTAAAAACGTAGTTGAATATCTGGAAAAAAATACCACAAACAATTTTATTCGGTCGTATTAAGTAAATATGCGTAAACTACATCCAGATCGAGTGCGCGTAATTCGACTGTTTTTCCGCTAGACTTATTCCTAGCCTTAATATCGAGTATGCATGATAGTGTTAGATAAAATTATACAGAATGTTATATAAAATCATCCTCCGAACCTACTACTAACTAGCAGGTAATAATTTTTAACTTTAAACTCAGTTTATTTGACATACTTTATTCGGAGTTCTGAAAGTACAAGTTATTTTTACTTTAAACCTCACGTTCCCGATAGCACGGTTTATAAACGATAAATGCAGGATAGTGAATGTCTTGCTTCAAATAATTGATAAATCAACAAAATAATTAAGTGTCACTGTATACATGAAGTATATATCTATAGCTAACTTAAAATTTTTGCCGGTTTATAAATATATGTTCGAGTAATATTAAATTGTTATCGATAATGTGTAGTGAAAACGTCTCACTTTGAAAGTTACTCTAGACAATTTGTCTAGAGTACATTTAACAAGAATTCGAAGTTTCGGAACAAAAACCGATAAATCCGACAAATTTCTATTTTAATTTCGTCTAGTCTCATTGAATGGACGTATTTTGAAGGAGTATTTAGCGGTTGCTGTTCAGGTTGGGTAAATTATTTATAGAAACGTACTTTTGTATGTTACTACGTACTACCATTTGGCATTAAAAGCGAAGAAGTCGAAGCGTGACTTATTGGTTTTTGTTCCAACGCACCTTTAATTAGTATGGTTTAACGGGTTGACTTCCGCAACTCGGTATCGTAGCGCTTATTATGCGTATTAAAAAAATAACGTAAAGTTTAGAAATAACACTAATAATATTTAATCTACGAGTACTCTAAACGCACACGAAATGAACCTCTATTGACCTATCCGATTGTCAATTATTTAATGCCAACAAAATCTTTATAACTACTTAAATCGAAGATAATAATTTCGATTAGGATGCATGGTACCAAATACAACTTGGTGTAAGTAATTACATTTCAATACTATATTACAGGCTATTTTTCTAGTTGTGTAACTTAAATATGCAGTCTGTACATACTGTATTCTACCAAAATTGATTAAGTATTTATTACATATTAAGTAACAATGTCAAGCGCCACACACCGACCGCGCGCATTGATATTGCCGTCAATTTTTATGTATATTGAATCCCACGCCGCGCTCAGTGTGTGGTTATGTTAAGTAGGCTATTTTAAGAGTCTCCCGCGCTCTTATAGTCACACTGACATAATACGTAATTTGTATAGTTTACAGTAAAGTTGAGCTATACGTACTTACGCTTCCCTGCGCTGGAACTCTAAAAATGGCTTCTTAATTTCGAGTTCCATTATTAGCAAATTAATAACACTGGCAGCATTTGAAAGTACATGTCGAGACTTCGATATTTTATTAATTATCACCATTTTAGGCGATCTATTCCTTTAGTATAGTGATTTGAGTACTAGATCTATAGACTTACACAGATCTCTAAATATTGTCTTCATAGTTGAATTTCAATTTGTGATTTTCATGTACGTTTATACCGGCTGTGTAAATATATTTATGTTAGATAAAATGTATCACTAGTTTGTAGATTTCGCCAAGCGATATGAAAATTACTTCGTATTGACCGCAGACACAGAACGCAAATGTTCTTTTGTTCATGGTAATGTCCAGGCCTAAAAGTCAAAAATACCTATAGCATAGAATTCTAAATTCGAATACCGTGAAAAAAGGGATTTGCGTTCAAAATCTAGAACGATACTTGATGAAATCATAGACTGGAAAAGTAGTAATGTTATATTGCTGTAATAATAGCATGTTGTAAAATAATTTCTAGTGAAATTTAATAGGCTCAAGTTTAATGAAAAAAAAAAATCGTGCGAAAACTTCACATTTTAATGTAAAAACAAAGTAATAGCAACGTAAACTAAAAAGTTTTTTAACAAATATATCGTTATTTAACAAACGAGTGAAAAAATCCAAAATTAAAAAGTACAATTAATGTTTATTTGATTTCTATATACTAAATCTATGATTTCTACAAACGTATCGTCACTGTTTTGTGGTTTGATGAAGCTGACACATGCACCAAAAAGTTTTGAAGTGTTTGTACTTTAGATACTTGATTGTCGTTCCTAAATGTTTGTATTTAGTGTAAAGACGGCACAGGAAATGAAGTGTGAATTTAATTTAAAGTAAACGAACTATGTAGCGTCTTTCACACAGACTTTGATAGTGGAACATAAACGTAAATTAAAAGTAGACGCGTTATCGCATAAATCTGTATATATAGGTACAGGGAGAAGAGTACGTCAAGCTTGACACTTAAGACTTACATCCAACTCTATGCCGCTACGATAAGAACGGTCCTAGTACAAAGAGTCAAGCTTGACATGCTCTTGACTGTACCGTATCTACTCAGTGTGTGTATCATAGAAATAGAGAGTGTAGGGTCAATACGTAAGATAGTGGAGATAGAATTAACGAATTTGTATCGATTTGTATCTAGTTTGTCGTCAAACAAACCGAGATTAAAACAATTGGATTTTTTTTTGCCTTTTTATCCTGCATTTTTTTTTAATTTTCCGATTTTATACCACTTTTGTATTTATTTAGATGTCCGGCGCAACCGAATAAGGTAAAATACGTGCAAATTATGTTACCTGCTAGTCATTTTAAAATTCAATGCGGCGCACTATTGCAAGCATCTAAGCCGGACCTGTAGAGGAAACTGAGTTATGGTTAATTTGTCCACCCTTAAAACAATAGCCTAAAAATGGCTCACGATGATTGTGATTACTGTTGGGTAATTTTCCGAAAAATTTCAAATAATAGAGTTTTTTTCGGATAAATTCCTGAATAATTGGAAAAATATAATTTCGAAAGCTCATAAGCTCATGTTCTATTACGTTTTAAAAGCTTACACCATTTTATAATCAGAATAATACGCCATTTCATTACAGAACTGTACCTGCACAAATATAAAGAACGGACTCCTCTAAAGGTTGGATCTGGACTAAAGAGATCATTCAGCATTCAAAATTCCATACCTAACTTTATGCGGAACTGAAAGAAGGTTCTTACAGATCTGTTACTAATGAGGAAATTGCTGTGTTTCGTCGTGTATTGAGTCTGAATCTGGTGATGGGAATTGAAAAGAGCCTAAATTTCAGATACTACTTCTTCTCCAAGCGCTGCAGCAGATGCAGCACGAAAAAAAGACCTGCTAGGTCTATTTGGAGCTGCAAAATATGCAGTCCCTCATTGCTATCGTGAAGGGAAATCATTTTTCGAGGATCAGCATAAAAATTAAGAATTTATGATGATCTTCAAAACATGTTTACTCCTCCGAAGCTTCGAACTCATGTCTTTTGGTATAAATTCAGTGCACAAAACAAGTTCAATATCGAAAATAAAGCCATTTCTTTTTAAATTAATTTTTGTCATTTTCTTCACGGTGGTTACTAATAGTGAACACCTACATAACACCCCAGCATTACAAAAAAAGTGCAAAAATGCTTATCCTAACGCGAATCCAGATTAAGTAGGAGGATACAAAGAAAATATTTTTAACCTGTGCCGCAAAGAGTAAAAATTTGTGCTTTTTTTTACTGTTGGGTAATTTTTCAAAAAATTTCGAATATAATTTTTTCCGGAAATTTTCCCGAAAAATCGAAAAGGTTTGAAAAACTGGAAAATTTTAATTTCGAAGGCTCATGTTCTGCGTAAAAATATCTTTTGAAGTTTTATTTAGCGTGGATTATAAAATAAATTTATTTATTGTAGCTATAAGCCACTAGAAAAACGAGATTTAAAATTATTTCAAAACAGCGGAACAGAATATGTAGTGAAACAAAAACGCTGTAAATTGGCTCCATAGATTTAGTATATGCATACTGAGACTCGTATTCTAGAACTACTCAATGCTCAAGTCAGGATTTGAGTATGATTTCAAGCACTAGAAATCACTCGAAACACTGCCAGTAGGGTCGTATTTCCAGTGTTTGAAATCATACTCAAATCTTGACTTGAGCATTGAGTAGAGTTTTGGAATTGGCTCCAACGTTGTTTTCGTTCAGTAACTTCAACTTTTAACGGGTGTTATCGTCAAATGTGGAAAATGAAAGGAAAATATCCGGAATAATATTTATTTTTCTGAAAAATGTGATTTTTTCTAAATGGAAATTTTTCCATGACCTAACGCTGCTTTTTTGAATTTTTATCACAAACAGAAATAAAACAGACATGACGTTTACAAAATTTGACAGTTAATTTATGATGGTAACATTGACATTTACCGATTGATGTTTCACATACGGATGTAGAGAAAGTAAGTTACTAGTTTTCTGAGTTTATTGCCATTTAAATTATGAAATGGTCGTTTCCGCGTCGTGAGAAATGCTCTTTTTGTTGTCAAGAGTCGATCGCGAGTGCCAAAACACGAGGATTTTGACGTTACAATGTTTGGAAAGTGTGTTGACTGAGTGCTTGATTCGTGCCTATGTAAAGTGATTTTTATGTGTGTTCCTTGAGTCGAACGGGCAGGATGCCGAGGGGAGAGAATAGGTCGAGCATCCTGCTCTCCCGGGATGAGAATGATCAGGTGTTCAGTCTGATCGGGGCCAAATGCCAGGTGAGTGTGTAAGGCATACCTTGTGGCCTCACAAGTGATTCAGACTTGTAGATTACGTACATATAGCTGAATATTAAAGTTATCTGTCGATAATATGCCGATAATATAAGTTCTTATCGAAATTTACACGGATAATCTTACTTTTCAAGGTAAGTCATCAATTGTAGCAGTTTGTATGATTTCCGTCAGAAAATTATCTAGTGGCTTACCAATTATTTCTTCGAAGCTTTAGCGGTGTACATACTGAGTTGCAATTTATTTTGGTAACCTCAATTTTAACATCTCTCAGCTGTGGTAACTTGGCCCTAGGTGCTATGTTTGAGCTATTGTTACCACTCTGTTGTTGCTAAACAAAATATACTATAATTGCTATGACATAAGAACATCACAACTGTCATGCATACCTTCATATTTTAAATTTTTTATATGAATATGGGCCTTAGTTCCTTTACGATTCTTTTATAATAAAAGGTTATTGTTTGAAAGCAAAACAGTGTCAGTTTCCTTCCTCATGGCAGAATTACATCATTGTTATATATTTTTGTCCTAAACTGTGACAATACACTATTATTTAAACATATCTGTTTTTAAATTAAAATTCTGTGTAAGGTTAGCCATGAATCGTGATATGAGATTATAAAGTGATCATAGTATTTTTTTTTTATTTTTTTTTTAACGCACACACTCATCATAGCACCGAACTAGGGAAACCCTGTGTCGCGGGTGCTATGGACACACACATAGACAACCACAAATTACACCCAAACTCACGAGAGAAATAAATGTAGGCCATATAAATATTTCTCCCGACCCGGGAATCGAACCTGGGACCTCTGCGTGGCAGTCCGGCATGGTAACCGTTCGGCCACGGAGGCAGTCAAAAGTAATTACTATATATGTAATTTATTTATTTTTTAATAATATCTAGTGACTGTATTAACAAGTCGTACATTAAATAATGGTAAACTATACGCCTGTCCATAACAGTTGCAGTGCCACTCAGAGCTTTAAATCATAAAGATCCGAGGGCCACTGCCACTGCACCCATCACCCTGAGACATAAGTTGACAAGTCCCATGTGCCTGTAATATCACCAGCACCTCTTACCATTGCATTTTGGTAAGTTTTGAGATATTGGCACTTTTAAAGTTTTTTTCTTTGTCTTAAAAATGTCAAATATGCTGATTTTGCTTAACAATATAACTGAAACTTAATAAGATATTTTAAAAACTATTAAGAGGGGGTTGTAGATCTCGTTTGGTTATTCCGGATTATGTTAATAACTCAATTTCACTATAAATGTTGTTTATGATAAGGATAGCAGAATAGGTTAACCTTAAAAATGAGGGAGAAGCCAGAAGCAGAATATTTTATTAAGTTGATAATATTTTTATTTGAAAATGTACACAAATAGATCACACACAACACAATCATAGAGATTTTACATGGTGCCCAATGAGAAATTTTCCAACAGTTCACAATAATGATGATTATAAATATTTTCAAGAGATATGATGATAATGAAGTAGCAGATGAACTGGCAAAGGCTGGTGCTAGGGAAGCTTGCATTGGTCCTGAACCTTTTCTAGGGGTAATTAGTGGTGACCACAATAGATCAGTTAATGATTGCAGTGATGAGTGGCCACATAGGCCTCAAATGAAGCCACTGTAATAATAATAATAATAATAATAATAATAATAAAAAAGTTAAAGATTAAAATAAATACAATTATAGTAATAATGATGATGATAAATTAAAAATTAAACACAATGTATTAAGTGACTATAACAACAATTTTTTAAAACAAAAATAACAATATTTGTAGGTATTTCGCTAGTGTTCTTGCATTGCACTGATTATTGTTTTATTTGACATTTTTAAACTATCAGTTTGCAAATATAAAATACAAAATTTGAAAAAATATTCAGTACTTATATATTCATTTTGTTATTCTATGATGTGTGGAAGTCATTTAAATTATTTCACTTGTGATTGCATATAATAGTCTATGTTTATAACTTGTTGTGTCATAGAAAAATGTAATAGACAGAGTCAAGTAATAAATAACATTTAAGATAAGTGAGATTGATAACTTTCTTACTTGCACTGACTACAGGTTTAGCAGGGTCCAATTTATTGCAACTTTCTCCTCACTGCACTTGCCAGTACAATATACAGGGAGAAATTTATTACCTGTTTACACTTCTGTTTTGGAGAAAGTACTTTTATTACAGCTGATAAAAAAATGGAATCTTAAATGTGTACCAGTAGGAAATTAGGACAAACTAAATTACATGATTTACTATCCCTTAATTTTTTTCTTTCCATTATGTTATTTTGATTAAATGCTTAATTCAATTTGATGATAAGGTAGGTTTAATGACAGAAGTCATAAAATTTTTTTTTGAAAATTCCCTTATATGATTTGTCCCAATTTAAAATACTTAAACTTTACTGTGCAATACTCAAAATATCCAGTTTTAAAGGGTAAGGGTGTAGTGCAATTACAGGCACATGTGTCTGGTGTATGTGGCCCGGAGATTTGCAATTTGACTGCAATAGTACTTTTGCGTTGGATGTTTTGAAGGTGTAAGGTGTATATATATACAAGTGGGTTCTATTTGTTTTATGCAGCGATTGAAAGATGGAATTGTGAATAAAACTATCAAAAGCCTCAGAATAGTTGATGAATGCAAGGTACAAGTGTATAGAATACTGTGCAAAAATGTGGCTTATACTGGACAGCAATATCTTCCTTAAAAAGAAAGGAAATCCAAAGTCATTTACCTACAAAATAGGAGCAAAATGGAACAGGACAAATAACATATATTCATAATATTTTTTTCCTATTACCCTAACAGTACATACCTATTTCTGCCGCCTAGCAGTAAAGTGAGCATTACTGCGTTCCGGTTTTGAAGGGTGAGGGTGCTGGTGAAATTACAGGTACATTGGGACTTGTCAACTCGTGTCTCAAGGTCTCAAGGTGACAGGCGCAGTGGCAGTGTCCCTCAGATCTTTCCGATTTAAAGCACTGATGTGTCCACTTGCACTTAAGAACGTCATAAGAGTGTCTTTTGCATTCCATGATTGGTTTAAGACATAGGTACTTAAGTTTAGTGCAATTGGACATTAGTAGCTGTTGTGGACAGGCCTATCATTTAACACCAGGCACAGGACATGTTCGTCTCATCATTTGGTTTTATCATTATTTTTTTTAGCCAGTCTGCCTGATTCTTTGTTGTCAATAGACAATATTTTTTATTCAAAAGAAAATAGCAACGATCTTCCGAGTGTTGTTTCTTTTTCAGTCTATGTTTCGATACTTATACACATTCCGAACTGACGCACATTTGACATACTTACATTGTTTAATATGTAAATATATAATGGTAAATATGGAAATATTGTTACGGACAAAATATTTCTGGTATTGCTTAGGGCGGTCGGCAATCGCTAATCGTCTACTTGTATACACACGCGCGACTTAAGCAGCGATACAATTGCGATACAAACGCGATGCAAATGCGATGCAAACGCGTAACACGTTTTTATTGATTTAACTTTTTTTTCATAGTACCAAGTAGCGGGACGAATAAGTCGCGCGCCTGATGGTAAGCGACATGCCTATTCATAACAGTTGCAGTGCCATTGAGAGCTTTAAATCGCAAAGATATTATGGGCACTGCCACTGCGCCCATCACCCTGAGACATAAGTTGACAAGTTCCATGTACCGGTAATTTCATCAGCATCCTTACCCTTCTAAACCGGAACGCAGTAATGCTCACATTACTGCTGATTGGCGACAGAAATAGGTCATCTTCCCTCGACGAACACAAAGAGCTCTGCTACTAAAACTTAAGTGACTGCACCGATGCTCGATGCAGTCGTGCGTTTGCATCGATGCAACCGCCTATAAACCGCAAGTGTCGCGATGCAATCGCGCGTTTTTATCTACTAAAAGTCGCCGTGTGTAAACGCCCTTAGAACTCAGTAAAAGTATTTCACCAAAAGTCTGTTCTTTACACAAATCTCAGTTCAATCAAACTACTTAAATGAAGAGTAAAAAGTAGGGTATGAACACTCCCTGCCTACCTCTCGTGAGAAACCCAGGCATGTTTAGCTACCTAGTGGATACCGGCAGGCCGTTTAAATCGGGCGTGATTACGTCACTCACGTAAACACGATTCTTGTGCAGCTATTCTTATTGTATGAACAAAGGTATGTTTCCTTTTAAATGTACGCTTTATGTTACCTACAATAATATATATATATATAATATAGTTCTTACCGGTAAACGCAACGTGTTGTCCATGGTACGTTATGGGACAGATCAATTATGATGTCATCGGGGCCATTCACTTTGGAATGAGTACCTGAGGCGTCAGGATGCGGCAACTATGTCATTAGTTGCATCCTACCTATTTTCACAGGAATCCAATGCCGAATTGTAACAGTCCATGGTAGTGTAAGTAATTAAATGGTGGGTAGCCCAGTAGGGAAATTGTTACTTTTCAATTGAGAGGTCGGAGGTTCAAATCCCCGTGGCGGCTTATGCCAAGATTCACACGAATAGTTATGATCCTACATTTATAATGACGTACTGTATTGTACTCGAGTGGAATTCCCTGTCTGCAGACTTGGGTTGCTAACAGATATGATTGCACTTAATGCGTGAAGTCGCAATCAACTTCATGCAGCTGAGATCGACTGTATACCGTTCATACATGAATTAGTTGTCAATCGGATAACGACTTCACACAGTAACTGCATGCGGTCGAAACCTACCTCGGCTGCATGACGTTTATTACGACTTAACCATTGACTTACAAATAAATTGACGACGGGTCTAATAATACAAAAACCACGAAAAAAATGTCCCAAGTCAACCTATTTAAACGTAGCGACATGTAAAGGAATATGAAAAAGCTAAAACGTTGAATTTAAATTGTCATTACAATCATCGCAGTACTGTCTAATTTTGCTTGCTTCGCTGTCAGTCGAACAAACGAAGACTAAAGCGTTAATGACGCTTTGTATACGATTTTAACGCCCTATAAGTTCGGACACTTTTTAGCGCGGACCTGACGTCTATATAATTGTAAGTCAATGGACTTAACGCATTAATTGCAAACATGCAGTCAATCAGCAGCCATATTCCTGAATGGTATAACCTGGGCCTTTTCAAGGTGAGAGTAAATAAATAAATAAATTGAGACAACATTATATTTTTTATTGCTCTGATCTCAAAGTGACTAAGCACAATAAACAAGGACACAGTCTAGAAAAGTTAGCCCCGACTGGGGATCGAACCCGGGGCCTCAGAGATGGCCACGCAAGTTGTCGACGTCGAGTCGATAGGTAGTCATCATGTAGGTGTGGATGGTCATTTCCATTTTCATTTCCATCAGGTAAGATGGAGGTCAAATGTGCACTTATTCTATTCATAAACAGTCAAAGATTTTACCACGGCATAATAGCTTATTGCGTATTCTGTTACCAAGAAGCCTGATGGGAAAGTGCAAAATCTTGCGTTGAATCTTGATTTGTGAGACGTGGTAATAAAGTGTATCTTCATAGAATCTATCACACGGTACTGCCACTGTTATTACATTTATAAGGGCCTCGTCAGAGCTATTTGTGGTTCTTTTCGAGCCATCAAAAGCGAAATGCTACTACGAAATTGCAGAAATTGTTTTTATCTTTGTTGCAATAATGATAATAATTTTGTAAAATATCGAATACTAGTGGGCTTACTCTTTGTCTATTTATTGCAATTATAACTTTTTTTATAAACACGACCTTAAAAGTTCATGGAATGATATCTGTTTGCCAAGTTTTATTGAAATCGGTTACCGGAAAGTGCGTGAAACCGGATTCATCCCCTAGCTTGTCACCCTTAGAGGTGGAATATTTTCTTCAAATTTAAACGGGACCAATACTGAGGAACGCTCTTTCCAACAGAAAAATAATCATCAAAATCGGTTTATAAAAATAATCGCGTAACAAAAAAAGTCGAATTGAGAACCTCCTCCTTTTTGAAATCAGTTAATAAAAGAATCATAACTTTAGGGATTCACCACACTTATCGACACGGAGTCGCATTAAGCCGTCAGAAAAAACTTTATGCCCATACAATACGAGCGAAAAAGATGTTGCGAGTTTCGCTTCCGCTCGCACTGTCGATGCGAAAGGCACTACGTCTGTTTCGGTTTTATTACATGGACATCACTCTTATTTTAAACGGCTTAAAGCAATTCCATATCCATAAATGTGGTGACTCCCTTATACTGCACAGTTTACTCCAAACGGACCAAACTAAATAGTTTGATGTGTTCTGTTATGTTTACATAATGACTATACCTTATGTATAAATTAATACACAACAACATTTGTAATATCTGTAATGCAACTTTCAATCAACTAAATTGTCTCGTCTAATTCCTCCACAGAGTCTAGCGACGGCAGTGGTCCAGCTTTTCACGACTGAAGGCCCGGGACACTCAGAATGGAAGAAAAAGGACACGGGCGTACTATGTCTGATAAAAGACAACAGCAAACGTTCATACTTTTTCCGCATATATTGTTTATACCGCAAAGCGATGATTTGGGAACACGAAGTGTATTTACAGATAGAGTACAAAAGCCCAAGGCCTTATTTGCACACCTTCGAAGCTGAGGTAAGAAAAATAATCATACTTGTTTATTTCGACGACGTTAGTCTCGAAATGTGTCTGGAAAGACCTATCTAAATTGGTTCTCTATTTTCGTAGCTACGGTCTCTGGTTGTCATAATAAAGGGGACTGCTTTCGTCTGGCACATTCATTTAATAATTTTTTTGTCCATCGATGTATGGAATATGCGGAGTATTACAATCGTCTATGAAAAAACGTTATTAAATAAGTTTTCATTCGGTAACTTCGTCGCGTCTTACACAATACGTGCATTTGTTTGAGATTTTTTTAACTTACGATTGTTTGTTGTAAAACAATTTTCTTTTACCCATTGTGAACGTGCCATTACAACGGTGTTACAAGCAGCTTGAGACTAGTGAAGAAATGTTATTAAATAATTGGAAATAATTTACGTTTGCGTAGCAAAGTTTGCACAAGTACCATAAGATATATGAACTGTCTGTAGTAATATTTTGAACATTTCGTAAAGGCCTTTGTACTCTATATTATTTCAGGAATACATGACAGCGTTTAACTTCGCTAACGAAGATGAGGCAAAGCTCCTTAGGAACGTTCTTATTGAGAAAATCGAACAACGGAAGCAAAGGAGAGAAGGTAAGTTCATTGCAACCATAGTTATAGAAAAAAAAAGGGGAGATATGTAATGATATAGTGAATAGTGAGAATGTGATAGTTAAGTATGTAAAATTAGTAGCACATTTCACGGCGCGTCTTACGCCTGTAGTGATGACGGTTGCTCGCGGTTAGCGCGGCGGGGTACTAGTAGAACCGCGCAGGACGCGATCACCTGCGCGCTTGGCGGCCCCGTCGTCGCCCGCGCACTTTGCCGGTCGGTTTAGGCGCAATGTGGTGCAGGCGCACGCTGGATGAGCTCTATTAACCGCGCGACTTGCGATTATCTCCCACTAAGTTCGCGGTCGTTCCGCAATCGCAGTGGCTTCGTGCCCGCATAAACTTGCAGGGTCGTGAGTATTGAAATAAAACCGCTGTCTAAAATTCGAAAGAAAGTCGAAAATTGTTAACCTTATTAACCTTAAACTGACGCTACTCAACGAGGGATGTACCTAATCGATAGTTAGAAACCATGTGGCTGTTTTTAATATTAAAAAATATTCCATTTTTCATACTATACCTGCACTGGTACTGGTGTATTATTAAATTAATATAATCTTAATAGCCGCCTTCATAGACGATATGGCGATCGTCGCTTGTGTCAGTTTTCCATTATACGTTACCACGAGTTGGTGAAGCTGTCACTGTCAAGAGTAAACTTGAACCATCAACGAATGTAATAAATTAAATTATGTTGTTTTTTATGAAGGATTTATGTAATTTTCTGTAATTGTTTCTAATTTATTTTGCACATGTAAATAAACGCCGATTTTATTTTGTTTATTTTTAAATGCATTTGCTATGTAAATTTAAACAAGTCAGAAATAGTAATAAGAAAATCAATATTTCTTTTTCTTGCAGCTTCAATCCAACCTTCTCTTATTTTGAACTCATTGGAAAAACTTAAAAATTAAAAATACTCCACTTTTAATCTACGAGTATAATGGAATTTAAATATGTCAATTATTTAAAACAATAATACACATACATTTTTCTTCAAGCAACAGCAACATACAAATTGATATGAAATTGAAACGGTTGTCCGAAATATGAGTTGTGTTAAAGTTACTCAAATAAAATGTTTAGTAATAATAATAAAATAAAAGAACTTTATTTAACGTAAATTGATATTTTAGGGACTTTAATTACAAAATACATAGTAAGAAATTCAAACATTTCAGTAAAAATTTATTGTCGTCATCAGTCATCGTAAATGAACATCACATCATATTTGAGTCTAGAAATTTCTATGGAGACAAAAAGAAAACATTGAATAATTATAGAAATAGTAACTAAAAATGCAAATAGCTGGTGGAATGTTACCTCAATGGTTTTAAAACCTTTGTTTTAAAATTTTTATAAGGTCTATCGCTACAACTTGGCATTTTCACGTTTTACGAGAGATTTTGTATGTACAACGATCACCATGTCACTGTGGCGATGTTTGTAGGCGTGTCACCGTGTCATCAAAATGATCATATCGAGACGACACGGACCAAGCCCCCATACCAAATCTCCCTTTTTTTTCTATATCTATGATTGCAACAGACAATTGTTATAATAGAATCTACACTTATTCTGTAACATTAAGGGTATAGTACAGACGAACTGTAAACACAACTACGAATCGATAGTTGTGGTGCAGTTGGTCCGAATGTTACAGAACTGTATTTATTGTGCATTAAACGGCCCATTCACTACCTACGAGTACATGGCAGTCTGCCGCGCAGGTAGGAGACTGCTCATACACTTTCGTGCACATGGCGCTCGTATGGAGTCTCGCAGGACGCATTGCAGCATGGCTGCTCCGACTATATTCATAATACTGCATTACGCGGCGGACTGCAATGCAGGATAGGATAATGAAAGCCCCATTTAATGGTCATGACTAGGGTTTAAACGTGGGGTAGGCCTGAATAATTTACCCACAGCATTTCTACAAAATTGTAACTTTTATTGAGTGTGCTATGTGTTCCTGGCCCGTTGAAAAAAGAAGGGCTTCGTCCCTTTTTTAACCGACTTCAAAAAACGAGGAGGTTCTCAATTCGACTATGTCTTTTTTGTATGTTACGCGATAACTTGGCATTTGTGAAGCGATTTTGAAGATTATTTTTTTGTTGGAAAAAGGGTACCTCAGATGTGGTGCCATTTAAATTTGAAGAAAATATTCCACCTCTAAGGGTGACAAACTAGGGAATGAATGACTTTTGATGTCGGTTTTACTTAGTACTCTGTACTGTTTGTATGTTAGCTGATTATGTCAGTGATGTCAACGTCTTAATCAGACTAACATAAAGATAAGTCTCAACCTGAATCCCCTGTTTTTCAAGTCACAAACAATATAACCTTGATAATAATATTTTAAAGAATCTAAATGAGATGTTGTAGTTCTAAAATGTTGTAATTTCGGCAAAATAACGAACGATTGTCCAGTTAAAACTCTCTTTTGTGTGTGTTCTGCCCTCGGAACGAAAAAAGGCACAACTGCTGTATAAAGTACGTATAGTTGTGCCTTTTTTCGTTACGAGGGCAGTGTTAGTAACCCCCTTAATTCTTTGGCTAATTATGATAATGTGTGTTAATCGGAAATGAAACTATTTTGTCGGATCTAAGTCGTCCATTATTGTTTTTTCAAACAAACCAACGTTCCGTATCGTTTACAGATCCCATTATTACGGCTGACTGTGTACTCTATGGGACTTGTAACACTGAAAAAAAAAATTGTTTTATGTACCATAACTTTCATTTGCATATAGCATAAAACTGGTGACTACAAAAGTACGGCAATACGTAACCAAACAGTTTTGTGTTTCATAAATGCACACTTTTATTAATTCAAACTAATTTTGATTACAACTAACTAAATTGTGGTTAAAAATCAAATAACTGACGCTTTGGTTGTTCCTTTTTTTCAGTGAAAGGGCTCGAAACGTTAGTTTGTTTGAAAAAACAATAATACGTGATTTAAATCCGAAAAAATTCATTTTCTAGTTTCAATTCCTTTAACAGTCGCGAAAACCTGAGAACTCGAATTGTGTGTTAAGTTTCCATTTTCAGTTTCTAAAATATAATTAAATAAGCGCTTAACTAAGTATTTTTGGCATAATTAACAACCGGTGCATTCATATTCGGTGTGAACCTGTTGGTTCCTCCAAAGAATGCAGATAATTATTATCAAATCATAAAATTGTAAATTAACAACCAAATGCTAAATTGAAACTGGATTTACCCACTGTCCGCCCACATAACATATGAGCATAACCTGTCTGTGCTACATCTCGCCCGGATAAATTACCGAAAAATTATAATAAAAATACACATAAGGTGTAGTCGTAGAAGCTATAATTGTTTATGCCAAACCTCTCTTAATAATAAACTACACCAATATACTTTGTAACATTTTGTTGTATTAAGTAAGGGTGTACTGCCAACTTGCCCATTTCTGCGCCATCAACATCAAGCAGTAACGTGGACATTACCGCGTCTCGGTTTTAAAGGTGGTGAAATTAAAGGCACATGGGACTGGTGCGAACCAAATTAATTAGATGTTTTTGTATTAAGATTAGTAGCAGTAGGACGAACGAATGTAGCACATGTAGCTCATGTGAAGGAGTTCGTCCAGGGAAGTAGTGCCACCTTACCTATTTCTGCTGCCAAGCAGTAACGAAACTACGTTCCGATTTTGAAGGGTAAAAGTACTGGTGAAATTACAGACACATGGGACATGTCAATTTATGTCTCAGGGTGACAGTCGCAGTGGCAGTGATTTAGGCGTTTAACACACTGCACCGCGCCCCGCGACGGAGCGCGGGGCTGCGATTTTTAACGTTGTACTGAAGTACCTCAGTTTGTATGGAAAACACGCGCCGTTGAACACATTGACAACGCTTCTCCGCGCGGGAGCGCGACGTGCGCGGTTTCACCGCGCCTCCGCGCAGAGTGCGCGGCGCAGAGTATGGCACACTGCGCTTTGCACTACCGCGCAGATTTTTAATCAATTTGTGTCTATTCCAGTAATTGTCGTTCGGATGTTCCCTAACAAATAATCAAATTATTCAGTTGACATTCGTGTGTAGTTGAAAAATTAATCTTCATATTTTCTTAATCTTTCTAATGAAGTTGAAGTCTTCGATGTCTTTTTATTTGAGTAAACAAAACAATCGACAGTATCACTGCAGCGTCCTGAATGAGTTCTGTATTATTAACCATTCTTGTCAAAGAAGGATCTACATGTGCAATCACTACGGCGATCAACTACGAAGCGAGTAGGTACTTTGATTGGCGCGGGGCCGCTAGACCGCGCTGCCCCCGTGCAGATTAAACCGCGCGTTGACGCAGATCTGCGTGTCCGCTACCGCGCGCGTGATTCCGCGTCTCGCGCACCGTTGCGGGGCGCCTATTATCCCGACCTTTTGGCCAGGTGGCACTAGTCTCCTAGTCGTATTTTAAATCGTCAAATGACAGTCAAACAGCAACTTTCCCAACATTGCAACAGCCAGATAGGGCTTTATAAATTAATATCAAAGATAGTACCTAGCTAAATCCGCGTACATATTATGTTTGCATGTACTTTATCAGCCAAAAATAGTAATATAGATAAACAAAAAATAATATTCCTGTCTGTGATGGTGACGGGTACATTCGAGTGTGGCCAGATGGTTACATTTGTTACATTTTTTGTAACTTCTAACCCTTTCGCGTGATATGCAAGTAACTTTTGTTTTAATGCAATTTTTGTAACTCAAAAGTTAAGATTTTTTAAATTCAACTTTTATTTGTTATTGTAAATAGTTTACGATAACAAATGTTGTAATAAAGTAACCCAGAGATGGCGCAAACGAAATTAAAACTGCCAATTCTGGTTAAAGCTTGATTTTTCTAAACGTAGCCACGTTGTTTTTATGATATCAGCGTATGTAAATAATAGTAAATATGTATGTCATTAATACGTACACTTTGATAAAAAAAGCAAATGTAACTTT